CATCTAGTTGATGCTCCCATGCTTACCTCAAACCTGCTGCTCCGCCAACATGCAATCTCATGGTGGGTAAGAGGTAATTTGAAAAGTTTCAAAGGTGCCTTGAGAATTATACTCCCGGGTTTCATCTCATGGAATCTATGGAAGGCGCGTAACGCATATACATATGATGGGATAAAGATGAATCCACACGGAACTATCCACCAAATACGCAAGCTCATTCAAGCCTGGGCATGGACTCACCGGCAAAAGAAGTGGTTGATTCATGACAAAGACTTTGATGATTGGGAGATTGATAAATTCTGGCGGAAAGGATCAAGACATCAGCTTCATTCTAATTTTTAGACCTCTTTTGTATTTTGTTTTCCTCTCAGAAGAATGGTTGTAACTCTCTTTATCTCAATAAAGTTCCTTTTATTAAATATATATATATATATATATATATATATATATATATATATATATATATATATATATATATATATATATAATAGAAAAATGTTAGAGAGAGAAAATATCACAGACTCCACTGCCGGAATTCTTGGCCGGAAAAAATTGTTCTCAGAGGTCCTCAAATCTCTAAAAGATGAAGAAAAATTACAAGGCACTAATCAAGGCACATTCAAGGGCTGCCCTTCCATCTCATTCACTCAGGAGGATATTCAGAAGCTTTCTAAGAGGTTTGCCTATGCATTGATTGGTTCCTTCTCTCGTCGTCCTCCTTTTCCAGTCTTGAAGACGTTCCTACAGAAACTGGGTTTACGGGGAGACTTATCTCTAGGCACTCTCTCTTCCAATCAGGTTCTTATAAATTTTCAATTCGAAGAAGATTACCAGAGAGTTTTTCTTAGACAAACATGGACAGTGGGAAATCATTTGATGGTCATAACCAAATGGACTACTGATCATATAGAAGGTTTTGACTGCCCAATTGTACCTGTTTGGGTCTCGTGTCCTAAACTCCCTGTGTTCCTCCATGATCAAAGAGCCCTGTCTTTAATTGCCTCTACTATAGGGAGACCTCTCAAAGTTGATGAAAACACGTTGAACTTCTCAAGACCTGATCTGGCTCGTTTCTGCGTTGAAGTTGATGTCTCCAAACCTCTTCCTCCAAAGGTTCACATCAAGTTAGGGGAAAAAGATCTGTTCCTTCATCTAATCTTTGAAAATGTTCCACATTACTGTTCTTCTTGCTTGAAGTTGGGTCATTCGAAAGGGCACTGTATTCTTCCTGGCAAAGAATCACATCAAGAAGATCAACCAAGAACTTCCAAAGGCAAAGATACGATTCAAGAAACATGGACAATGGTTACCTCCAAAAAAAGCAGGCCTGGTACAGTTTGGAAAAGAAAACTGGGTCCCCCTCTTTCTGGTCCAGGAGAATGCTCCAAATCACAAGACAACCAACAACAAAAGGACACAGATCCAGCTCCCATCAAGGTCCCGGTACCAGCTCCTCACCCAATCCCAGTGCCTGAACCAGCTCTAGTACAAGTGCCTTGTCCAGATTCAGTCAATGAATCTGCAAGGGTGACAAATATTACAGAAGATAAAAATCTAGCTCTGGTTTTATGGAATCCTTTACCTCCAATTTTGGAATCAAAATTTACTCCCCTACTTTCAGATCCTGAATCTGAAGATTCTTCCAGTGAAGCTTCTGACTATGATGACCTAGGGATTGTCACTTGTCATGAGAAAACTGCATCTGATTTCCTAGGATTCCCACCTCTACCTGCAATTGAAAATGAGAAACTCTTTAATTCCACAATAAAATCTAGGCTCAGATCTGCCAATAAGAGTTTTAATCCCAATGTTTCTCAATGAAAGCCCTCTTCTGGAATGTTTGTGGTGTTAAGTCTTCCCTCAATAGACTTATTCTTCTCAAGAAAATTTATAATTTTGTCTTTCTTACTATTTTTGAGCCCATTGTTGAAGAGAAGAAACTGGATTTTTACAGAATAAAGCTTGGATTCAATCATGGTTTTTCAACACAGCACAATAAATGTTGGATTCTTTGGGACAGTGATGCCCTCATCCTCTCTCAAGTTCAAGAAGGTGATCAAGTTACAACTTGTCTTTTTACTTATGTTCTCAATCAATCCCCTATTTACATCAGCTCAGTTTATGGCAAGCATAATAGAGCTGAAAGACTTAATCTCTGGGACTCTCTCATTGACCACAATCCAGTTCATCTACCCTGGATTGTGGGAGGGGATTTTAATGTTATTGCCTCGTTCATGGAACATCAGGGGGCCAGCACCCCTTGTAGTCGAAGTATGGAAGACTTCAGTGAGTGCATCCTCAGTGAGCCTAGCATTAAGGGTAATTTTTTCACTTGGATGGGCTAGAGATCTAAAGGAAGGGTTTTGCGCAGGCTGGACAGAGTTCTTATCAATCAAGCTTTCATGGATATTTTTTCTGAGATTTACTTAAATCATCTTAGCAAGACATCCTCTGGCCACAAAGCCCTCCTTCTAGATTGCATCACCAATAACTACTCCGGTCCTAAACCCTTTAGATTCATTAATGTCTGGACTATGGATGCCACCTTTAAGGATCTAATAAGAGATTACTGGGGTTCCACCTCTACTGGTACAGGAATGAGGTGCCTGGCCAACAAACTTAAGGGACTCAAGGTGTGCATTAAAAACTGGAATCACAATCACTTTGGGGACATCTTCTCTAAAGTCAAAGAATGTGAAACTGCTGCTCTTCAAGCTCAAGAAATGTTTGAGTTAGATGACTCAACTATCAATAGAGAGGCCTTTCACCTAGCAAATGCTAATCTTATCAAAGCTTGTAACAGAGAAGAAAGCTATTGGGCTCAAAAGGCTAATATAAAATGGTTAGGTTGTGGAGATGCTTCCACTAAATTCTTTCATTCATTTGTTAAAGGTAAAAGAAGGAAAGCTAGCATCAGGTCTCTTAAGGACAATTCTGGTAGGGATTTGATAGACCAGACAGCCATTGCCAACTCCTGTTATCACTGAACAAGATAATTACAGGCTGCTCAAGCCTCCTTTGGAAGAGGAAATCAAAACTGCTATTTGGCAACTCAATCCTAACAGCTCAGCAGGACCTGATGGTTACAACGGAGAATTCTTTAGATATGCCTAGGATATTATCAAGCATGATATTATTACTGCTACTCAAGAATATTTCATTGGCATTCCTATGCCAATGGCTTTTGGCAGTACACTTATCACTCTCATTCCTAAGGTGGAGGGGGCTAAAGAAATTGGAGACTACAGGCTAATTGCTCTATCAACCTTCTTCAGCAAATTGTTATCTAGAATTGTGGCTAACAAATTAGCCCCTATGCTTAACAAAATCATTTCTGCTGAACAAGCTGGCTTTCAAAAAGGAAAGAGCATTGAAGAGCATATCTTAATTACCAATGAACTCATGCACAATCTGGAGTCTAAGGTAAGGGGAGGCAACGTTATGATCAAGTTGGATATGGCCAAAGCTTTTGACAAGATTTCATGGAATTATTTACAGGCTGTTCTTAAGGCTTTTGGTTTTAATGACCAGAGTATCCACCTGTTCCTACATAACCTAAAAGCAACTTACATGTCTATCCTGGTTAATGGTAAACCTTCTGGTTTTTTTAAAATCAAAAGGGGGGCCAAGCAGGGGGATCCTCTATCACCCCTTCTCTTTATCATTGGATCAGAAGGTTTCTCCAGATCTATCAATCAGGCTATTCACTCTGGATTTATAGCTCCCTATAAGTAAGGGAAGTGCAAAGTTGTGTCTCATTTGGCTTACGCTGATGATCTTATTATTTTTCTTAAGGGTGATATCAGAAATCTGCTCAGATTCAAGCACATTTTGACAACTTACCTCAGGGCATCTGGACAGGATATCAATAACAAGAAAAGGAAGGGTAAGCCACTTTAAATTTTTTTTGAAAAAATAAAATCAAAGGAAGGGTGCTGACTAGACTTTGACCGTTGACCGCCAGCATTGACCGCCGCCTGCCGCCAAAATCCGGCCGCCACCGCCGGCCACCACCGGACTCTGGCGACCACCGCCGGACTCCGGCCGCCACCGCCGGCCGCCACCTCCGGCCACCGGCGACCACCGCTGGCCGCCGGACTCCGGACTCCGGCCGCCGCCGCCGTGCTGCCGCTGCTCCGCCGCCTGCCACTGCTGGATTAATGATCAACTTCAGCCAAATTGGGAAACCAAATCAGACAGCAGCTCCATTTTGGAGGAACCCCCTGCCTATGTTTGCCACTCTGATGGAGGGGAGAATGATAAACCTTTCATCACATCCCCCCCCCTATTCCCTTCCATTTGGACATTGGAAGATGTTCCAAACAATCCATATCTTTCCCTAAACACCGCAAGCCCAAAAAAGACATTAATAGTACCTTCACTTGGTCAGGGGTACGCTCCCAAGGCAGAACCTGGCATAGACTGGACAGAGTCCTGATTCACCTGGACCTTCTTGCCTTCTTTCAAGATGTGGAGCTTCATCACCTTGCCAAAGCTAACTCTGATCACAAACCCATTCTCCTTCACTGTAATGACCAGATTCCCAATACTCTCAAGCCATTCAGATTTCTAAACACCTGGACCCTTCATGAGAGTTTCCTCCATACTGTCAAGCTCACTTGGGAAAATTCCCCTACCATTGGAGGTATGAGAGGTCTCCTTCAAAAACTTAAAGCAGTGAAGCAAACCCTGAAGAAATGGAATAAAGATACTTTTGGGAATATTCACTCTAAACTCAAAGAAGCTGAAGCAAGGGCCAACGAGAGCCAAAAAGAGTTCGAGGACCTTCCAACTGAGGAAAACAGAACAGCAGCTCAGAGGGACAATGCTGCACTCATCCTAGCCACGAACATGGAGTTGGAATATTGGAGGCAAAAAGCTCAAATCAGATGGCTTGACAAGGGAGACTCCAATACCAAGCTCTTCCAAGCTTTTGCAAAAGGGAAAAGGAAAAAGCTTCAAATTTCTCACATCATCGATGGGAATGGCAAGGGGCTCAATACCATGGATGAGATCAAACAGGAAGCCATCAGGCACTTCCAGAACCAGTTCCAAGTGCCAGCTACTCCCTTTCCTGATCTGAGCAATATTCTGCCCTATATCCCTTCCCTCATCTCAATTGAAGACAACTAGTGGCTCACTAAGCTCCCAGATTTGGCTGAGGTAAAAGCAACAATTTGGGACCTGGATCCCAATAGTGCCAGTGGCCCTGATGGCTTTAATGGTACCTTTTTTAGGGCTTGTTGGGATTTTATACAACAGGATGTGCTCACTGCCTCTCAAGAATTTTTTCTGGGTCTCCCAATTCCAAAAGGCTATGGCAGTACCCTCATCACCTTGATTCCTAAGAAAGAAGATCCAAAACGGTTTGATGATTATAGGCCCATCTCCCTCTCAACTTTTCTCAGCAAAATTAATACTAAACTCCTTGCCAACAGAATTAAAGTGCTGCTCCCCAAACTCATCTCACCAGAACAAGGAGCTTTCCAGAAAGGTAAGTCCATTGATGATCATATTCTCCTTGCCCAAGAAGCCATACATGGATTTGATAGAAAGGTTTTTGGGGGTAACCTTCTCATCAAAATAGACATGGCAAAAGCTTTTGACTCTATGAATTGGAGCTTTCTTGAGGGCACTCTTAGAAAGTTTGGTTTCTCACAAGCTGCAAGCAATCTGTTAATGGCAAACCTCCAGAGCTCTTTCATTTCTGTCCTCATCAATGGTGAACCTCAAGGTTTCTTTCCCATGACCAGAGGAGTCAAACAAGGCAATCCCCTCTCACCACTCCTTTTCATTATAGGGTTTGAAGCCTTCTCCAGATTCCTAAACCACTCCATGGAGAGAAACACTATCAAGCGTTTCAATTTGGGCAGTGTTTGGATGCCCAATCATCTTATTTACGCGGATGACTTGATGATCTTTACAAAAGGGGACATCCTCAACCTTCTTAAACTCAACCAAATTCTTAAAGTGTTTATGCATGCATCAGGGCAGCAGATAAACTTTTCAAAAAGCAGATTCTACACTCCAAAATCCACCACTGCGGATCAACAAGTCAAGATGGAAAAAGCCCTGTCCATGAAGTGTGGTAGTCTCCCCTTTACCTACTTGGGAGCCACCCTTCGTAGGGGTATTCTCAAAAAAGATGACTATGATTCTCTCTTAGACCATGTATACAAACATCTCTCCTCTTGGTATAGCAGAACCCTCAATCAAATGGGAAGATTAATACTCATAAAACACGTCCTCTCTTCCATCCCGCTCCACCTTATTGCCGTCCATTCCCTCCCAAAATCCACCATCAAAAATATCAATTCCCTTATGGCTAATTTCCTTTGGGGCCAAAAGAATGGCAGGGCTAAATATCACTGGAGGAACTGGAACTTCACATGCCAAAGCAAGGACGTTGGGGGCCTTGGGATTCGGAACCTCACTCAAATCCAAACAACATATTCTCTCAAACGTTGACAAAGACTTTGATGATTGGGAAATTGATAAATTTTGGAGGAAAGGAAAAACGCTTCTTTTTCCCGCTAAGTTTTAGCATGTGTACTTCTTTTTCCTTTCGTGATTGTAACTCCTTCCTTTCTCAATAAAGATCCTTTCTTTTAATATATATATATATATATATATATATATATATATATATATATATATATATATATATATATATATATATATGATGAAAATGTTTAGAGAGAGAAAGCCACCGGAACTCTCTGGTTTTCCAGCCAGAATTCTAGCGATTCATACATCCATCAATTCCAAAAACTCTAAACATGTTACATTCCATATTGACAAAAGCTGCCCAGTACCAAACTTTAGCTAAATTCCGTATTGACAGGAGAAAGCCAACCTTAAACGTAGATAAACCAAAGCTAGAATTACCTTTACAGCACCCTGAACTACAAGAGGTTGAGCGGTCTGGAAAGATTTGTGGTGGTGATACTTCAAGCAGTAGCTTTAATCCCCTATGAGATACTCCAAACCGATTTGAATCCCAAGAGACTTTGACAGAGAAATCCACATCATATCTAGATACGGAGTATTTCCCAATTTTCATTTGAGAAATCAAGCCTGGTAACAGTATCGACCAACTAGTGTGCAATATATGTGTGTGTGTGTGTGTGTGTGTGTGTGTAAAATAGCTGGATTTATGTTTTTTAATGGGAAAATAATAGCAGATTAGCTTTTGTCAGATATAGAAAAATAATTTTAAGACAGAAAATAAGATGTTAATTTTAAGACATAAGAGTATCTCCACTCTCCAATCAGCCTTTAAAAAATGGTCTGTTATACACCCATGGATGGCCCGATGTGTTGATGTGAATAGTGAACAAAAAGATGATTTTAGAGTAAATTTCCAAAACGGTCAATTCTAATATGATATTTTTTTAAAATAGTTCTCAGTAAGAAATTATTACGAACATAGTCCTTTGTAATTAAGACATATTTTCTAAATAATACTTTGTAAAATATGCAAATAAAATTACAGTTAAATAAAGAGTATTTTAGTATTTTCCATAATCTAAACTACGAATAAGAACTAACCGACCCCGAGTAGGCTAATGGACTCCATTTCGAGTAAACAAATTACCTAGAAATCATTAGTTTGGAAAAATTCCTACTTTTATAAAAAATATTTTGAAAACATACTTTAAGTCTAAATAACAAAAAATGCCAAAATACTTTTTATGTAAAGAACACTTAGTAGATTTTTTCAGCTGATGACCATTTAGGGAACAAGTCTTAATTACTAAGGATCATACATGTAATTATTGTTTATTGAGGACTAATTTGAGAAAAATACCTAATTAGAAAGATTCACTTTGAGAATTACCCATAATTTTAGAATGAAGGGAGTCATACATCCTTTTCAAAGATTTGTGATTCTGTTCAAAAAATGTTACAATCAACAGCGTTGTAGTCTTTTTTCCATAAATAAAATTACTGAGTTGTGAGTCGTTACATTTTTAAAAAACACAAAGCTCTAACAAGAGCTTACAAGTATATTTTTTAAAAACTCTAACAAGAGCTTACAACTATATTTTTCAAAACATAATCTCAAATTTTAATTTTAATTTTAATTTTAATTTTTTAAAGGTAAGAATTTACCTCAAATAATACTAGCTTGCATCTCGTTGTGCAAAATAGCAAAATAGACATTTTTTCAAAACAAGAAAATCATTAGGTCGCCGTTTACTCCCTAACGATGCAACACTCACACATGTTTAAAGTGTGATTATTAGACATTATATTGAAAGGTAAGATTATATCTTTCAAACACAAAAAAGCCAATTTAGTTTTGATAATTTTCCCGATTTTTACAATATACATAGAGATTAGTTCTTCTGACATTGAAAATCAATGTGATGATACGATACAAGACACTTACAATTCTTCATTGTTAAATTTGATTCGGGATAGTTCTTACTCCCCCTTCCTCCTTACCTCCTGCACCCCATCTAGGGGGCTCAACAGATGGAGGTTGAGGTAGGGTTCGATGGGCAATTGTTTTAGGGTTAGGGGGATCAAAACTATTTCCCGTTCAATGTCAAAAAAGACTTCTCTATTTATATATAAATGAAGATATTAATAGTCGAATTATCACATTAAATACCACAAAAAAATCAAATTTCAAGAAAATTTATGGACAGAGAAAATACTCCCTCCGTTCAGTATTAATCTACCCATTTTGAGTTTTTTCCATTTTATGGAGAGTTGCCAATGGGATGAAAATGTCCAAACTACCCTTTTCGTTTGTCACTATTACCACTGCTCTCAGCAGCCTTCTGCCATTTGCTTCAACAATCTTTGTCCAATCTCCCACCGCCGCTGGCCCCCCTTTACTGCCACCCCCACCATCGCCAACCCCCCCGCCATCTCCGATCCCCACCACCACCGCCCGCCAGCCCCACCACTGCCTTAGTCCCCACCACAATTGTGGTCCGCCCAAATATATTAGATCTACAAAAACTGAGTACAACTTACCATCTTTGTCCACCCCGAGCACCAACACCGCAACTCATACCATTGCATCAGTCATTGCCATCTCTAGTCCTACCCAACCGCTGCCGCCATTGCCATATCAAGAACAGATCTGTCCAAATAGGGATGGCAATTCAACCCGAACCCGAGCTTAACTGACCCGACTGAATACTAAAATATCCGAACCCGAACTGAAAATAAAATAATCCGAACCCGACCCGAAATTTTTTACCCGAACCCGACATCGGGTCGGGTCGGGTGTGGATTTATTATGTTACCCGACCCGACCCGCACCCGACCCGACTAAAACCCGAATATTTTATTACATAGAAGTCTATCTATGGATATAATGAGCACTCCGTATAATCTCTTGACAAAATGCTACTATAGCAAGTATGCTTTTTATAATCATTTTTATAATCCCTTAATAAAAAATGAGACATAAAAAAAGAGACACAAAAAAATTAGATTTAATCTTTTCAAAATTATTGGGGTACGTCGAATTGATTATTGCTTAAAAGTCGAGTTCAGGTCGGGTTCGAGTTTCGAGTTGAAATGTCAGGTTCGGGTCGGGTCGGGTTTCGGGTTGAAATGTCAGGTTTCGGGTCGGGTTCGAGTTTCGATTTTAAAAGTCGGGTCGAGTTCGGGTATAGTACTATCCGACCCAAACCCGACCCGTTGTCATCCCTATGTCCAAACCTGGCAAACTGGAAGACAAATAAACAGGAGAAAAGAGAAGGGACTGGAGGAGGACAAGCGGATCTAGAGAAAGAATATGAGGGAAAGGAGACAGAGGAGGAGGAGCAGATCTTGAGAGG